AGGGGAGGGGAGGCTGGGAGGGAGCCGCCGCAGCGCGCGTGCGGGCCGGCGCCGCCGTAGCCGCTCGCTTCACTCCAGCCTGTTTGGGGGGCACTTTGTTTGTGTCCCACAATGCTCCGCGCGGACGGCCGGGCCGGGGAAGGGGAGGGGCGGGGCCGGGCTGAAGGCGGTGCGCGGCTATTGCGCAAGCGCAGAGCGAGCTGTCCTCAGCCTGTCGAGCCAGCCGGCCGGCCGGCCACTGAAGCAAGCACCCGCGGGCCTGGACCCGGTCTGTGCACTTGTCTGCGCGCTTCTCCATATGCAGAAGCGCCACAAGGCCTGTCCAGTTTGTCCTTCTTGTGGCCGTGGTCTGAGCTGCACCCAGGGGAGCGTTAGGACGACTTGGTTTCCTTCCCTTGGAACCAAAAGCCTTTAAAGAGGCTGTTTTTCTCTAGTGGTTTCTTGCAGCTGCAGAACACCCTCGCCCTTCTCTGTCGGGAAAGGAATTTGGGTGATGTGGCCATTCTTCGCTCGTGGAAACTGAGGCCTATCAAGGCGTGGCCACAAGGGCCGCTGAGAACCTGGCGAGCTCTCCTTTATGAACAGGGATCCCTTGCAAGCGATACCCCAGAGCGTCTTGGCGCGTCTGACATCCTCGTAGTACTGTGAGGTTGCCCTAGCTAGCGTTTTTCTGATTACCGTAGCAGGAAATGCAGTTCTGAGATGACTAGTGTCCCCAACACAGAGTGGCGTCTACACCTAAAGCGACTGTGAACTATTCCTTCCCCGACCGTGAATGGCATTCTAACACACCGAATCTTACTTCTCTGCCCTTGGGGGAGGGGGTGTGCGGGTCACTTGACTGATATGTCTAAAGAGCTTTCAAGTTTTGGTCGCCGGCAAAATCAGTGTTCAGGGTATTTAAATTTCCAGAGCCGTGGCTTCCTCAGACCTCAGAGAACCAAACTTGGTGATTTAGCGGGAGTCGGGGGTGGGCAGGGGGGTAAGAGAGGTGGGGGTACCCTGGGAGTACCCCGGGAGGCAGGCGACATTGTGCCCCAGAAGCGGGGAGGAGGGCAGGATGTCTGTCAAGGCGCTGCACCTTGGGCGCTGTGCATTTGCATATGCGTACTATGTACCCACACCTCCAGCTTTTAAACCGAAAGACTTCCTTGTGCATGGTAGGTTGATCTCCCGGCTGCAATAGACACTTGGCCTCCTCTGACTTTAATCCACCCCCTCACAAAGCAAACCACCAAGCACCAGAGCACCCTAACCAATGAAATCTGCTTTCAAAATAAAGGCAGCAAAACAAAGGTCTGTGTAGCCCTTCTCAATTTCCAACAAATTTTCAACTGTATAGAAGGTATTCAATCCTCGACAACCTAATCTGCAGCTGTCTTACGACTACTCTATCATGTTTTTAAATAAATTGAGCCTGGCTTGGCATTGAGAATTGAAGAATCTAGGGAGATGCCTGAGTTTAAGGCCCTTGGTGGAGTATGTATTGAAAACATATGTCATGGAAACAACTGGTGAAGAATCTAGTGGGAATAAAGCAGACAAATAAAGTCTTAGGGTATTTAATAGACAGTCAATAAAAGAGCATTCAGCTGGACTTTTCTAATTGTGACTCAAGGGACTGAGATGACAGCTAATGTTCCCAGGACAGGCAGAAAACACATACACAGCTTTCATTCTCTTGTCTCATCTCCTTTTCTCTCATAAACTTTGTCTATTTCTCATTTTTGCCTCTAAAATGTTACCATGCTCCCATCCCTTTCCCACCCTATGTCTGAGGAATTTATTAAGCAACAAATGGCTGTTGATCTCTTAAAGGCAAAGTTCTAGATGATTGAAGAGGGTGTGAGAAAAATGCAAAGAAGATGAACTGTTGCTGGAACCCTCTTCTGTATTTTGGTTCTGGGCAGGATCAGTTTCTGTGGCTTCTTCAGCCTCCCACCTCTTTTCTTCCCGAGCTAGCAGAGACTTGCCCTTGGGGTTGCTAGAATAAGTAGACCTTTCTTTGACACCAGGTTGAATAATTCTGTTGGGAGGATTTTGTGAAATCGGAATCCTGTACACAGGTGAAACAAACTGGACAGTATGAGGAACTTTTAATTATTAACCCACTGTGGATGATTCTGAGGAATTCAAATTCCAGGCAAATTCCGGGGGGGATTATTTTATCCAAGGGCTGTTTGGGAGACTCATTTCTGGCAAAAAAAAAAAAAAAAAAAAAAAAAAAAAAAGGCACTTTCTCATAGCAGACAATTACTGCTGAATGGGTACTCAGTTATTTAGACCAAAACATATTTCAGAGATAGAATACTTTATACTCACCAGAAAGAGTTCTAGTCTGACTGGAACTGCTTCAGTGAGAGCCCATTACTGCACAGTTCAAGCTTACTTCCTCATAGATCCTTCCAACTGTATAAACAAAAGGCAATCTCTTTCCCCTGCCCTGAGACATCCACTCTCTACTGTTCCCAGTTCACCGGCCGCTCAGTTGGGGAGGTCAACTTTGCCCCTTTGCTACGCCCCTGCAAACCAATCCAACTGAACAGTTCCTGTTAAATATGCTCATTCCCACTGCCGCCATCCTGAAATATAACACATGGTACCTAGAAAATGGTAATATTGCTTACCTGGTTCCCAAATTCCCCTTCTCTTCACTGACCAAGCGGTAGCCAGAATTGTAATGCTTGGCAACCAAGCCAGCCAACAGCCAACAATTTCTATTGTTCTCAGGTAGAGTCCCAAGCCCTCACAGTGGCTTTCCTAACACTACTGTCTGGGGCCTTGTCTCGGAGACACTTCAAGAAATGTGGCAGTCACAGACTTACTTTTTTTTTTTAACCTCTAAAATACCATGCTTTTTCTTGCATTACATTATTTCCTCTAAATAGTAATATTCCATTCTTTGGATATTTTTTCTCCATCTTCAGATTGCTTCTTTTACATATTTGATAGTTCTATGTGATACACTTTGAATAATGTAAAATATATTTGTTACATAGCTGTACTGTACATAATATTGGTAAACTGTCGAGTGCTCTTTGGGCTCCCTAAGAAGCTGGCTCTGGAAATGGGGTTATCTCCCCATCCCCATCTAAGATGCAAGCATGATTTTCTCATAGTATCTTCCAAGGCCCCTTTGTCTGTGGATGAGCTGCCATCCCAGCACACACAGCTCTGTAACAGCCAGAGAAGAAAACAGTCAAACAGCCCAAGAGTAAAAACACCGTGTCTTTGAAAACAGCTCTAAGGTAAAGCATTTCTAGTAAAGGTTACTATTGTTTATCCCATGGTATTATAATGCCTGCAGTGGGAATAGGAAACTGGGAATTCGTCTGACTGCTTCGGCTTGTCCAGTTGGTTTCTGCCAGATGGTTTTAAAAATCCAGTTTGATGATGTTACCTTTCTGCTGCTGTTTATTCTTTTCCTTGGAAGTGTCTCCTTAGGGGACTCTTTGCTCTCTCAGTCAGGAGCCCTAGTTGGTTGCCTCAGTGGGCTTCCCCAGTCAATTTCTGCAGGATGTTTTAAGTGCCCAATTGGATGATGTTTTGCTTTCTTTTTCTTTTCTTTCTTTTTCTTTTTCTTTTTTCTTTTTTCTTTTTTGGTTTTTCAAGACAGGGTTTCTCGGTGTAGCCCTGGCTGGCCTGGAATTTGCTCTGTAGACCAAGGTGGCTTAGAACTCACCTACCTCTGCCTCCCGAGTGCTGGGATTGAAGGTGTGCTTCACTCCCCAGCTATTTATTCTTTCTTTTGCATGCTATGTACTTACTAAACTTGCTCATTCAAAACTGAAAGTTCAACTATTGTTTATCATCTTCAGATCATACAGAACAATAACAATACATACCATATGTAGTGTATTATATATATAGTATGTAATATATAATATATATATATATATATATAGTATGTAATATACCTGTACCAATTTTTATTAAAATGAAACTTACATACTAACACAATCCACCCATTGAAGGCGTACTGTTCAGAGATTCTTAATATTTCAGCATTATATAGCTATTACCACAGTCAATTTTTAAACTTTCCCATTACCTGAAAGGAAACTGGGACCTATTAGCTATTACTCTTCCTACCTCAGCTTTCCAGTCCTGGGCACCCAATAACATAGCTGCTTTCTGCCCATGCACATATTAGATATATGTTTTCAGTTTGTTGAGCTATACTGTGCTTGATTGGTACTTTATTTTATTTATTTATTTATTTATTTATTTATTTATTTATTTATTTATTTATTTATTTATTTTCGTTTTGGTTTTTGGTTTTTCAAGACGGGTTTTCTCTGTGTAGCCCTGTCTGTCCTGGAACTCTCTTTGTAGACCAGGCCTGACCTCAAACTCAGAGATCCACCTGCTTCTGCCTCGTGAGTGCTGGGATCAAAGGCGTGTGCCGGTTTGGTTGGTATATGTTTTAAGGCCTCTATATTATTTTCCTCTTTTGGGTGTAAGGGACTATGTTGAGCTGTTTTCCGCAATGTAGATTTTGACACTTGATATATATAACATGTTCCCATCTCTTCTGTACTTTTGTGTGAATCAGTAACAGGATCTAGATGTTTTATCAGATTCAATTTTTATTGAGGACAAGATTACTTCATAGGCAGCTGTGTGCTTTTCCACTAGGCCATACACAAATGTATGCTTGTCTTTTTCTTTTTGTAATGTTAGCAGTCACTGATGTACTCATCAACTAATGCTCATATCAACTAATTTCTTAGGAGTTTTAAAGTGGTGATATAATTTTTGTTGTGAGATATTTGTACACTGTATGAAGATGTGTTGCTGTGATTGGTGTAATAAAAAGCTGAATGGAAGG